CCAAAAGTCCTTTAAAAGCTGCTGACTCCCCTCACTGGGTGCTGGAGCCATCCTGGCTCAGCCACCTGGTGTACGGATGATCGAATAAATTCGTAATCCCTCAAAAAAAAAAAAATTACTGTCTCTAACACCATTGTGAAACTATCCAATTTAAAAATCAGGAAACAAGAGATGAGACTTGACTGATAAAAGGGTATAGAGAGTATAATAACTCATGGAGTTAAGATTATCATTAGCATTAATAATTTGCCTTGGGATCTGACATCACTAGGGGGTTTACTTGCATTAGGTACATACTCTGAGGTATTACTGCCCGTAGGTATTAATGTCCACATTTAATAGATGAGAAACATACTCAGAATGATTAAATGAATTGCCCCCAACTTTCTGATGCTAAGCTCAGGTCTTCTTCTACCGCAGGTATCTTCCAGACCATGAGTCTCTTAACTATGTCTGTGCTTCCTAACACATTTTTATTCTTGTCATAACCAAGGACTTAACAAGATAGGCCTGAAAACTCTGACCTCTCCCTTCACAGCCATACAGACATATCCCCCTGTAACTCACATCATCCTATATAATAAAAGGCTAATATGCAAATTGTCCCCTCAGGAGTTTGACCAACCAGGAGTTTGACCACTCACTATGACATGCGCTGACTACCAGGGGGCAGCGTAGAACGAAGGAAGTCCCCAGCCGGCCCTGATCGCTAGCCAGGCCTAGGGACCCTACCCATGCACAAATTTCGTGCACTGGGCCTCTAGTATACAACACAAATACATGTGATTCATTCAGCATCATTAGGAAATTATATTTTTATATTTTGCTAAAAATTTATTTTTAATCCTCACCCAAAGATATTTTTTCATTGATTTTTAGAGAAAGTGGAAGAAAGAGGGAAAGACAGAAATATTGATGTGAGAGAAACACATCAATCAGTTGCCTCCTGCATGCGCCCTGTCCGGGGTCTAAGCTGGGGAGGAGCCTGCAACCAAGGTACACGTGCCCTTGACCGAAATCGAACCTGGGACCCTTCAGTCCACAGGCCAATGCTCTATCCAC